CATGGTGCACTAAGATTCATAACTGGCTGTGATTATCGTACCCACCATTGCACCCTGGATTCACTGGTTAACTGGACACCATTAACTTCACACAGACTCTCTCACTGGTACATTTTCATCTTTAAATCACTTCTTGGTCTGCTGCCTTCATACATCTCCTCCTACATGTCTCTGCGTGAGTGCAGCTACAGCGTGCGCTCTCAGGACATTATTACCTGCAGTGTTCCCTCAGTGAGGACTGAACTAGGCAAAAGGGTCTTCTCCTACTCTACTCCTGTTTCCTGGAATATCTTACAAAAAGATCTGAAGCTCTCGACCTTGACCTCTCTAAGTGGCTTTAAGAATCTGTTGGACTCCTGGCAGGGACCAATGCAGACATGATCCTGTTGTTAGTTTTCTACATTTGTCTTGGAATCTAGCTGTTTTTTGTTTTGTTACCTTTTCCTTTTAGCCATCCTATTTGTTAAAAAAACAAAAAACAAAAAAAAAAAACTGTAGTATGCTTTTTTTATTTTTATTTATTTTTATAATTGTTTATTGTTGTTGCTGTTGTCCATTGTTGTCATCTTTCTTTGTTGAAATCAGGTCTCTCTTGTAAATGAGTCCTCGAGGCTCAATGGGATTGACCTGTATAAATAAAGGTTGATTGATTTAACTGATGCAGTTCCTGATTTTTCCAGCAGGTGGCGGTAATGATCATTTATTGGCTGCAGGTCCCTTTCTGTCCAGCAGGGGGTGTAAAGATCCTTGATTGTGTGCAGTTTCCCAGTTTGTCCAGCAGGTGTCGGTAATACTCAGAGTCGGGTGGATCCAAACTACCATTAGAGTAGAAGAAGAAGTGTGACGGCGGTCTGTTGTAAGTTTAACTAGTTTCACTGAGGAAATAAGATTTTTAGAAGTGTTTACTTCATCAACGAGGTCTTAACATTTAAACTGAAACATCTTATGTTTGTTTTTAAAGTAATTTGTCAGTAATTAGGCAGTTTTTATTACGTGGCGGTGATCAGCGTTAGCTTGCTAGCTATCATTCCGGAAACAGTTTTTATTTTTAGTTTGTTTTGCTTTAAAGAGCTAACTAAAACTTTCCACATCTGTAGACAGCAGCTTGTTAGCTCCCGTATAAGAATATCTGAATGCTTGAAGCCAACATTAACCTGTATGTAATAATTGTGTTTTAAATCCTCCACAGATTCCAGCCCTGTTAGTTTGTTTGTTTGTTTGTTTGTTTGGGACAGACTCTCAAACGCAACATCTGGAAACCCAGGATGCTGTAACCCTGCCAACCCACAGAGTTTAACATCATGATCCAGTGCCTAAATAAGGGGACATTTTGTACCCTGACGACCCAGGCTGCTTGACACTGAGGATTGCTGTCCTCTGAGTAAGATCTGTAAACCAGCTCTGTCTTCGTCCAGACCATGGTGGACAATCGGTATGCCACAGCCCTGGTCATCGGCTCGGTTCTGAGCCTGTTGGCCACGGTCTACCTCTCTGTGGCGGTGGGAACCCAGCACTGGTTCCAGTACAGCAGCCCGCCAGTCAAACAGGGTGTGAACCTGTCAGAGCTCAAAGAGGAGTTTATCGGCGGTGACTTCGATGAAAAAACCTACAGCGAAGCCATGTTCCATCTGAACGGCACCCTGGGACTGTGGTGGAGGTGTATCCAGGTCCCCAGCCCGTCACACTGGTACAAACAGCTAGGTATTACTGTCTGTTCAAAATACTACACCTTTATTAAGCACGCAACAGGACACCTGTGCTTCCTCTGCCAGAGTTTTGTTTCAAGTGATGCTTTACTGATACATATAAGACTCACAACATGTAAAACTGTACAAAAGTTTATACTGTGCAATAGTTTAACCTCAGATTTCTTTAGACTGTGCTTCCAAATGAGTCAGACCTGTATGATCCGTTTCTCAACGTCTTGTTTTTCTTTGCGGCTTTTTCCACTCATTTTGGGCCCAGTTCTTCTACCCGACCACGAAAACATGGTTTGTGCCTAAAAAAAGGAACAAAGTAGATAAATGGAGAACAAAAAGAAGTGTCAGGCCCAAAATAAATATAACATTCAGCCAAGATCTAAATCCTTCAGCTGATCTTTAAATTGCAGCTGCGATGGAGAAATGGCAGGTGGTGGTGGTTCAGAGAACAACACTGGGTGGGATTGATTGGACACAAGCTGCGGTATGAGACGTCTTTATTTGCAGTGGTGTGCTGAGACCTTGGAGGAGCTGAAAGCACTCTGTGTCCCTGTGAAGGGAAGAGTGTTGTTGATTGAAGACAGATGTGGTATGAAGGGGATCAGTCCTTTAAATAACCTGTTGGGACCTGCTCATTCTAAAACTCTTTGTTTCATGTTAAACTGCTTTAGTGTTCCTGTGTTAGTCAACTTTAAAAGATCACAAGAAAGTCTGGCTTCTTGTAGACAAAGTCAAGTCAAATGTATTTGTATAGCACGTTTAAAACAGGAACTGCTACCAAAGTGCAATAAAAGATAAAGGACTCGAAGGGAAAGACGACTGAGAACTTTTGCACAGTGCTGTATATTTTTATTTGTTTCATGGTTTTGAAGATAAGTGGGGATAGATGTAATAGAGAAATGTGATTTTTAAAGACAGCCCAAGGGTTTTGAAGGTTAACGTCTGTATTCTGCTCCGTTTGTGCAGCTGTTGCTGCCTCTCAACATGTAAGGAAATACTAGACACCATACAAGAACCAGGATGTTGAAGCTGGAGTGGGTACTGCATCCTCACATCCCTAGTCCTCAGCCTCTGGTTGAACTGGTTCCTACTGGCTTCATTTCTCAACAATGGATGAAGGTGGTGACACCTGGTCAGGTGTTTCCTCACATGTCGATGGTTTCTGCTGGTTAAAATGCCTCAGTTATGTTCTCAGGAGATGTTGGGAATCCTCACCTGACTGTCACCATTACACTTTTGTTCTAGATATTAATATGAAACTCGTAGAGATTTTATTTTTAGTGCAGCCTCAGCTGATGTTCTAAACAAGGCAAGTTAGTCGAGCAAATTCAGAGTTGTGACTGCATGACGTGAAGGCGTCAACGGTCCAACCAGTCCAAGATGTCCGCGTTCGTTCCTGGAGGTAGAATTAAACGAGATGAAACCAGAGTTCTGGTTCAAAAGCACTTGAATTTATTAACAAATGCTGACTTGTAGTACCTTTAAGAGGTATGTTACACCATTTTAAATTTAAACATTAGAATCTCGAGCTGATTCTGACTGCCTGGCCCTGTTTCACGGTTTCTTTAAGGCAGTGATGATATGTGCTCCAGCATCAACATGTGGCATGGAGGCTGCACAGCTGCAGAAAGAAAAGCTCTGCAGAGTGGTGAAGGCTGCACAGAAGTCTGTTGGAGTCAGCCTCCCCACCATCACAGACATCTGCACCTCCAGATGCAGGAAGAGGGCCACCTGCATCATGAAGGACCCCACTCACCCAGCACACATAGTTTTTGCTCCACTCCCCTCAGGCAGGAGGTTGAGGAGCATTAAGTGTAGAACCACTAGACTGAGGAACAGCTTCTACCCTGAGGCTGTTAGACTCATGAATCTCTAACTAGAATAATCACTGTGAAAAAAATCACATCATGATGCTGCTGATCTGTTGCATGTTGCTGCTGATCTCTTTCATGTTGATGTGTTCATGCGTGCTCATCTGCTCACACAGACTCATGTTCATGCTGCTGTTCTATGTAATGTTTTTATGCTATTAGTGCTTTGTGTATTTATAGTTGATGTTTTTCTTAGTTCATATCTTAGATCTTATTACTGTTTTTCTTACATTTTATTGTTTGATGTAACTGGGACCCTGTGTACATAATCTCGTTCCACCATATGAACCACATGAGATGCGAATGACAAATAAATCTGACTCTGATATTTGAAGCAAGCAGCTCAGCTGGATCCGTTGTCTTTGTTCACTTTAGACTCCACGATGGAGACGAGCTGCGTGAGCTTCACTCTTCCTCAGCAGTTCAGCCCCAAGTACAAACCTCCCCGGATCAACAAGGACGAGGAAGACCTGCTGAGAACATGTGAGGACTCGACTTCAGGCTGTTTTAACAAACAAACATTTCCCTAAATCCCACACGTTAGGAGAGTTCTTGATAAATGTGCAAAACATTGAAGTGTTTGTCGTTTTGAGACGTTAGATCTAGTTGTTGGATCGTCTTTGTGTCAAAGGACCACAGATGATGTTGGGTTTGAATGTTTTCAACAGACTGTGTTTAAACTACGCAGTTATAATCTGTATCCACACTGACTCTTTTATTGTCTTTTCTGCAGACCTCTGGAGGTCCCAGTTCCTCCTGCCCTTGGTGTCTCTGGCTCTGGTGTTTCTCAGCGGTCTTGTGGGGGTCTGTGCATGCCTCTGCCGCAGCTTCACCCCAACTGTGGGCGTCGGCGTGCTCCATTTTCTTGCAGGTGAGAGAAACACGACCTCCTATAAATAAAATCTAAGGTTATGTTTTAGATTTCTGTGGGTGGAGAGCAGTGAAACTCTTAAACTGACCCGTACTTGAAGTCCGAATAAAAAGGGTTACTCAAGACAAAGACAAGTCCTGTTGAATGACAGGTTTATCTGTGAATAACACTGAATAAACTGTAAATAATAATAAAACATGAAAAAATGAGACGAAGAAACAAGCATCTGAAGATCTGACTGTCAGGAGGACCTGAAGATGGACAGGAACAGTTCACAGGCTGGATCCTCTGAGACCAGGAGAGATCTTAGGACAGGTCCATGAGAGACCTTAGGACAGGTCCATGAGAGACC